AAAAAAAAAAAAATATATCCATCTTGTACAAATACTTGATTTTTTTAATCATTGATCTAATCATGCAATGATGGAATGTTAGCAAATCTGCACGAATTTCACTTCAAATTATCCCTCTCCATTCCACTATCCTTTGGGCCAAACATCCCACCAGATTCCAATTTTTAAAATTCATTAACTTCCAACCACATCCCACCAGATTCCAATTTATTGTAATTCTTTTTATTTTTGCATCAAGCTGTAACGTTACAAAAATATTATCTAACATATATTTTTACAAGTCACAAATCTATATATATTGAAGAGGTTGATGGAACAATCTTAAATAGTAATTTTGAATTTGTAATTAAATAAGTTGCCTTACTATTAAAAGAAATATAATAAAAACCACTTTAATATTTATAAATGCTGAAAATTGAATTATACATATGTGTTGTAAATCGTGTAATCTGGTTATAAATAAAGCGGTATCGATTTCGACATTATTTTGTAATAAATATCGCAATACAAATTCTTTCGCATATTAATTACTGCAATTTTTAATTCTTTTGAGAATCAACAATACAACATGTCTTCAAAAAATGTATATTAAATATATTTCATTTTTTAAATTTTTTTTTGAATATGCACGGTAAGATTCCAAATATAATTACAAAATAAAACTGAAAATCAGTTATAGAAAATTTTATTATGATATTTACTAAAATGTTACAATTGAATCTTATTTATCAATATTAATAACAAATTACGGTGATTTTTTATTCATTGATAACCAACCATATACCAAAATATTTTTTCTCTTATCTTAAGAAAATTATTTAATCGGAGAAGATGAGTTTATAATCATTTGATTTATCAATAACTCAATCGTTCCGGTTTTTCAAAAATTATAAACCTAATTTTCCAATATGTAAAAAATTAACTATTTATCTTTAATAACAAACAAATCTTTATCCTTAATAACGAACCATATGTTCTCCTATTTTATTGGGTATTCAGACATATGCGAGCACATTTGAATTATAAAAGTATAAAATAAATTTAGAAATCAGTTGCAAAAATTTTATTCATAAAACTATCATAATATATATATATATATATATATATATAATAATAATAATAAGAATTACCATTTAACAAAAATAGTAGCAAAAAAATAGGAGAGAATTTAATGCAACTTATAATTAGTAAGTTTTGTTATTTTTTTAGAAAATCATACAACATTAAATGTTGCATTAAATTTTGGGCTTTAATTCATTTTGTTATTTAAAAATTACATCTAATATCTCTATTAAGTGTGCATTTTTTATTTTTATTTTTTTTTCATAGAAACAACTAAGAATATTAAATCTCAGTCTCTATATTTATAAAATCTCAATTCAAAAGGTAATAAAAATTTTAAGAATGTCGGTCTTTATATTTATGGATTTCTAAAAATATATTGAATCCTATTCTTCAAATATCATTTTCCACTAATCATCACAATTTTATATTTGGAACATGTGATAATGAACTTGATAATGTTTATCAATTCTTTGTTTACCAACTATTGTTTTTTTTCTATACCCGGTATCAAAAGGTAAAATGATTTTCAAATTCTCAGTCTCAATAATTGTGCATTTAAAAAAAATTAATGATAATATATTATTTGTTAATAATAGTACACAAATTTGAAACCTCCATTATAAATTATATATTGATATCCAAATCATTTTATAAATGCAATCGACTTTGTTAAATATCCGCAAAAATATGGTAAAATAAAATGAGACGAACAACTTTTTATGGAAATAAATAAAATCAATAAATCAATATGAGGTTCATAGGAAATTAACATAATGAATAATTTGTGTAGTACACGGATCTAAAAAATAATACTCACGTGGATTTTAAAATTCAACTTACACTTATCATCATCTTCTGGAAATTGAATAATATATTGTATGCAAGCTTTTTTTAAATACTTTTAGATATGTTTTATTTATAAAATAGTTTAGAAAAATTTTAGGCGACTTAACATCTTCCAATAATAATATATAATATTTTAGATACTTTACATACGTTATATAGTATTTTAGGTGTGTTTAATATTTTAAACATGCATTTTTTTATGTTATTTTATGCAAGATAATTTTATATTGTTTACAACTTTTATACAATAAATTATGTCACATATTAATTCCGCATCTTAATTACAATTATTAATTATTATTGTTTACCCTCATATTTATTTTATAAATATTAGTTAATATTGTTTACTATCATCTTTAATTTATAATTATTATTTAATATTGTTTACCCGTGCATCGCACGGGCTACATACTATACTTTTATAAAATCGATATATCAATATTAATAATACAATCTTCTATTCATTTCGTAATGAGCCATATACCAAAAATTATTTATTCAAGGAGTACAAAAATATCTTTTGATTTTATCAATAATTGCCCCAAAACAATTTTTATTTTATTTTTTAAAAAAATCATATTGCGATTCACACTTTTAAAACAAATCTCATACAAATTAGTAGATAAGAAATAATAATTAAAATAAATAATATTATAAAATATAAGAAAAAGAAAAAATATTTATGTAATTAAAAATTAATAGTTTTTTTAACTTAAAGAATAATATATATTACAATATTTTTCAATTAAAGTGTTGGCTATAATATTTGCCACAATTTTTCGTATTTAGTCTAACTTAGTTAGAAATCGAAATAATATATTTTAACAAGGTATACGTAAGAGAAGATAGCAGAAGAGAAGTATTATGTGAGTATTATTTATTGATACTATTTGAATATGTTAAATTTTCATTATACTTCATTATAGATTGGATCTAAAATGACAATATTTGATAACAGATTGAAATGAACATATAAATAATATATTACATTATTATATATCATAAAATAAAGAAAAAATAATTAATACTCAAAATATTTTTATACTAATTATTTTCCTTCATTGATTTAACATATGCAATTATATTATTGCCCCGTGTATTGCACGAGCTACATACTATTATTATAAAAAGACAGTAATGAAATTGAAACTCTTAACAAGTGTAAACTATGCAAACATATGGCCTTGAAAAATTAAACTCACCAGCAAGCAAATAAGAGTATATAAATAAGGATACATAAATAACATTAATAGAAAAAAAAAAAACACGTTGAACATTTGTGATGAAATACAAATTATACAACCCATCCAAATAAATGAGGAAAAATAGAGTATGAAAGTTGATATGAGAGATATAGTTATGTACATTGTAGTTGTAGAGTAGGATTTGAGGAGAGACACGTAAATTCAGCAAAATCTCACTATTTTGATGAGTTTTCTATTAGGCCTTGTATTTTTAATTTTATTAAAATATATCCAAAAGTCTTCCATTTATAGAAGTTTCAAATGAATACATGGTGACTTATTGAGACATGTTTATTCAATTAAAATTTTTAATGACATTTTGAGAATTTTGAAATTTAGATGTATTCAACTCAACAGTAATTCTCACTTATCCACGGTAGGCGTTGTTGAGTGTATTTTTGGGCAAGGGGTAACCGAGCTACCCGACTCGGGTCGATCTCGAAGGAAGGCTATTCGGAGCTTCGTCTACTAGATGATCGTCCAAATCACAAAAATCGAAAATAAAATCCTAAACATTCTAAACAATTGATTGGATGGTTGATTAACACTACTTGAGCACTTAAAAAATGAGCAATTAGTTGAAAGCAAGATCAAAAGATGAGCATTTCGCAAACTAGATCACCGAAGTCTCATGCCATAACCAATACGGGATGATAATCAATCGACATACGGAATAAACGAGCTACGAGTATTAGATTGCTAACCCTAGTCATCTAACTGAGATCAACAAGTAATTAACGGCTCTATCTACTCAAGCAAGCAATCAAGTTCAAGCATTTCCACCATCATCAATCAAATCCAATTTACTCTAATGAAAATTATAAGTAAAACCGGAGCAAAAACGAAGTAAAGAGCTTTATAATTAAATACTCAATCTTCCATTGCGTAGACGATGAAAAACGGAGTCAAGAGCTCGAAACCTGAACGAAACCGAAGTCGCCGGAAAATCTCCCGGAAAATGGCATAAGCTCCTAATCTAAGGAGCAAAATAAAATAAAAGTTGATTTCCCAAAGTGGAAAAATAAAAAATGAAAGTTGGATCCTCAAAATGCAAAGGAAGAAAAATATTTATACTACCACCCGCACACACACTAAAACACGCAGATTTAAAATGGCACTCTCGAGCTCGCCACTAAATTCACGAGCTCGCAGCAAGGGCGTGCACGGGTGCGCTGGGATTGCGAAACTCTCGATGTCGCGCGGCAGTCCGCGAGCGCGCGGGCGTGTGGTAGGGTGGCGTCGGGCGCGGCATGCGACACTCCCGAGCTCGCGCAGAGATCCGCGTGGTCGCGAGCGTGCTTGGCAGGGCGTGTGCGGACGTGGAATCTCGACGTCGCGCTGCTTTCCGCGAGCG